AATCTTGGCTCTTGTGCACAGATCAGGAGGGAAGTTTTTTCAGAGGTTTCTAAGGGCCAATAAGGTATTCTGGTGCTTAAAGATGAAGGTCAAATATATCAAGACAGCCCAATTCCCATTCAGAGCAGCTATGGCATTGAGCCAGCCTAGACATCTTGGAAAAATCTCTTTCCCAGCCACATTTCTGTCCTGTTGAAAATATTACCCTGGGCTCAGCATCTAATCATTAGAATGAAGAAATGGTTCAGAAGAAGGCATAAAAATGAGACTAATTCCTTATGAGATAATCTGCCAGTATGAGAAGCTTCTATCTGGTCTGAATTTAACTTCACATTTATTTCTTGAGCCATGGAGATTTATAACACTGCAGTCATCTTAGCTAGTTCATCAGTGATTGTCCTGTTAGCCACACAAATGGCTCATCTACTTCTAATTCTTGCACAGTTCTTGGCACAATGTTATTTTATGACAGTGAGTTACATGAATTATCTGTTGTGTTTAAAATGTTTTTCTTTTTCCAACATTTAATTACTGTCCTTTTCATGACACGTTAAATATTTCAAATGAAGAGTAGTTTATGTAATGAAAATAAATACATCCAGGCATGTGCCTTATTAAAAAAAAAACAACTGTGTAATCTGTATTAATTTTATTTTTTATGATCTAGAACAGAATATCACATGGAAATTAAAACCTCAAGTTCATTCTATTATAAATCTAAAAGACCTGTGTTACGGAATAGCTTAAATTTATAGAAAATAAAAGGATTATTTCAGGAGAGCCTGGTATCCCCCTCCTGCCTCACCACGACAATTCAACTCCTCTACCCAAGAAGCCAGGCCAGCACTTGCCAAGTCCTCCTGTTCACCAGTCAGACTTACTGAGAGGTGAAGGTGCTCAGAGCCCTGTGGATCAGTTCAAATAAAGTGTGGCAACTTTCTGCATAAATCATGATGGCATTTAACATGGTGACTTCTAGGCAGGCATGGACAGAACTGTCTCCACTCACACCTCATTTTGGCCAGGCTTTAGCTACCTGGCCAAGAAGCCACGCAGCTGTCTCCCAGCAGTCAGTGTTGAGGCTCAAAAGCCTTTCTGGAAGAAGCAGGGGCCTAGCTCAGCTATAACGGCTGTTCCACAGCTGGACTGAGCATGCTAACAATCAGCCCAGGCAAAACATGCACTGAAACTCATCTTATTCCCATAAATGTCTCCTTATTGGATTAAAATTCTGACAAAGTGCACATTGCAAAGACTTCACCAGGGTTTGGAACTCATCTCCAGTTGGGATCAGGAAGAAATCCACTTTCCTCTGTGCAGTTCAGCACAGAATTTTAAGGCATTTACACTTTCTTTTGGACACCTTCTCATCAGGTTATCACTGCCAATGGGATACAGGCCAGCCATGACCAATCAGCACAGTTTTGCTACAGGTCTATTTTATTATACTCACCAAGACAAAAATCATTCTTATTGTAATAACTTTCTCACAGAACATGTATTCTGTGTTCTATTTAACATGTGAGTCCTTCAAAAGGTCCAAGCTTTTCAGTCACTTTCATGCCAAGTGTTCTCAGTCATGAATGGGCAACTCAGGCACCTGAGCCATGCCAGATTTTGTATTAGATAATGTTTAGACTGCTGGAGTTTAGATTCATTCTTAGTTTACAAATCCATAGGTTTATGAAAGAACCTGAACATACTTTAAAAGGTCACGGCTGAGACTGGGGAAAAATCTCACTATTAAGGAAGGATGAAAGACAAGAAGAGGATTAAATATTTTTACTCAAGATACCCCACACTTTATATGAGTAACTTAGTAAGATTTTTTTTTTTTTCTACTTCATTTTAGTTTGTCAGAACATTTTGTCAGCTAGTATTATCTTCCAATAGCTCTGTGATCTCCCCACAGTTAGCAATCAGATCCAAGCATGACTTCCTGGAAGAAGTCAAAAGAAACTCAATAAAATGAAATTTTCTTCCACCACAAGAATTTATTTCTATGCTCCCAGAAATGTTCTGTTGTTCCATGCACATTAGTGGAAACACTTGAGAAAAGACATGCAATTTAGGTAAGAACAGCACAAATTATTGTTCCTGTAGAAACATTTATTTTATTTTATTTTTTTTATTTTTATTTTTTTAATAGGGGATGATACAGGACAGAACCATGAGTTTTGTTTCATTGATAGTCACAATGCAACCACAAGCAGAATGTAAGTTGTCTGCATGTATTTATAAGAGGATCATAAATAACAAGAAAATTGTATCCTGTACACCAGCATGCCAGCAAACCACAAAAAAAGTCAGGACATAATGAGTTCTCACCTTTTTCCTCATCCTCTAGTGATATTTTTCTGATATTTCTCTAACTCAGTTAATAAAATCTCCACTTCTCTAATCATACATTTTCGATTGTACTAGCTTGAAGTATTACCTTGAACTTCAGAAAAGTAGATATTTTTCAATGTACCTATTCTATCATCCAAAGGTAGTTAAATAGTTAATGTTCATGTCTGGGTTTCAATACACTTTGCTTTATTATAGCAGCTGTCACTGAAGATCTCCAAGCAATTTGTGAACAGCAATCAGCTGAGCCTCATGAGTATTCAGCCAGTATGTTATTACACAGACAGGTAAACAGAGATGTGAAAACAACATCAGACTTCTCAGTAGGGTTGTAAGAGATGAGCAGTAATTTTGTCTTTCTCTCTGTCCCCCTGAATAGGATTCTTCTCTTTCTTTCATCTAGAGAAGCACAGAAAGCAGCACTACTAAGGGAAGCAGAATGGTCCCAGTACTCATGGAAGTAAAAGATACTAGATAAAGAAATGTGTTTTACTCCAGCTACAACCAGTTAAAATCCCTATTCCTTTCCCTTCTGCCCTTTCCTGCCACTGCTGTTGGCACCGTGTCCTGGACCTTGCCAGCAAGCTGGAACTGGCTGCCTTCTGGAAGTAGCTGTTGAAAGACTATTGAAGTATCTGCTTCTTCCAGGCTACAAATTCCTAATGTGGTGTGGCTGAAGCCAGGGAGGAGTTATAGGCTACTCTGCTATTCTTTGTAGGCTGGGCATGTCCCACATGTTGCCAGCCATGTAGACTAGTTTACACATTCACTGATCTTTTCTTAGCTAATCTCTCCATGTTTTGCAGTCATCATATTTTCTTACATGCCAAAGGCTGCAACATCATTATGTCTGGACCCAATTATCTAATCAAACTATCTTTAATCAATTTAGATCAAGCACCAAGAGTGGGAAGATGCAGGCTTCACTGTAGGCTATGCTGTCTCACCTGGACACCCAGGCAAGCAGCTAGTCCTGCTACCCTCTGCACTACCACAGCTCCACTGATACTGGTACTGAGTCAGCAGCCCTGGCTGTGTCCAGCTGTAATCACAACTCCTGACAGCTCTGTCTGCACCTTCACAACAGGAGAGGGCCCCTAGCCTGAGGAATTCACAGTTAAAACAGGCAAGGCAGAGAAAAAAAATCAGAAATCCCAAACAAAACTGAGAGTGGTTATGTGGAGTCCAGCAAGAATGCTTAGTGTGAAGGATGTATGTCTGAAATCAAAGGCTGCCCACTGCTTTTACTAGAAATGAAAGCTCTGCCTTTGAAAGAAAGGAGGCAGAAAAGCTGAGGCTACACTCATAAATTCAGTGCTTGCTCCTCTCCGCTTCAGTGACTTCACGACGTGTTATCATGTAATTCCTGTAAATGTTTCAAATAAAAGTTTTTGAATGATAGTACTTTGCTATAGTTCCTGCTGTTAGGAAGGGCTATACAAACATCTGCCATACACTCCTCAATTAAAATTCAACCAGAGCTTTTGTTTACATGTTTTGTCCTTAAAACCAGCATTCAGCTGCAACTTGCAGCGATAGCTGCCTTATTAAAAATGAACCTTTTATTTTAAACACAGTACATTTTGTAACAGGAAAATCAATATACAGTCAGAGTACTGCAGAAAACAGCTGTAAGGTATAACCTGATGACATAAAGTTGAGAACAGCATTCTGGCAGTTATATGTTCAGCTAAGCTTTCACTTTTTGTTTTTAATGGCACAGAGTTATAAAGATTAGAGATTTCTCTCCACCTGGTGATCCAAAGCTATAGAAAATTAAGAAACTACTGTTTTAACATTAAAATCTATTAATAATCCAGAGATATTTAGAACCTATCTATTTGTCCTTAGAAGGTGGGAGATTATTAGCTCTCTAAAATGGCATGTGATTCACTTTTATTACAAAATAAACTCAAATATATTTCCTTGGTGAACAAAAGGCAAAGTACACCAGATCATTTTGTACTGCTATTGTTTTTTTTCACCACATCTCACCGAGTATACTCTTTCTCAGATAATGAAACTGGCTTTTTTAAGGTTTCAAATCCAAATTTATGTAGCAAACGCTTTAATTAAGATTAATATATTCCATTTGTTTAGTTTTCAGACTTGGAGACTGAAGTTTTAACTTGAACTGTATTGCCCTCTAGCGCTGTGAGGGGGCCGGCCGCGGTGATGTCAGTGGCATATGCAGTGCGAGCACAGGCAGCCGGTGCACGCAGAGCTGCCTAAATGCTGACAAACCCTTCCTGGAGGCGCATGTCACAGCAGCTAGACAGGGGCATCCTTCCAACAGAACCACAAATGCACAAGGGAAAAGAGTAAACCTGTCTTTTATTTCAGGGACGTCATGATCGACACAGCTACTTTGAAGCTCCAGCCAAGAATTCTGCCTGCTAATTTCTGTTTAAATGAGTTTGTATGAGAAATTAACCAAGTTTGAACAGCCTATTATGTCTGACAGCCTTCAGAGGACTTCACGCTGTGCAAGTTTTATGTGCTTATAGCTGACAGCTTGCTGGGGAGATGAATTCTCAATCTAAAAGTGACCGGAGCTTTGCAGCAACTTCTTGGGTAGAGAGATAACTTTCAACTGAACTCAAACCATCTGTGTGTTGGGGAAGGGATCCAATCATTACTTGCTATGGAGGATGATTTTTAAGATGTATACCTACCCTGGTGATAAATCCAATTCATCAGTACCTGGATATTTGAAAGTGTCTGCACTAAATGATGGTGATCATTCTGCAAACAACTCCAATGAGACAGCAAGCAATCTGGATTCACCTTCCTTGGATATCAGTAGGGCAATAATTGTGGGGGTTATCCTAGGTGCATTTATACTCTTTGCTATTATAGGCAATATATTGGTAATTCTCTCTGTTGCTTGCAATAGACATTTAAGAATTCCTACAAACTATTTCATCATTAACCTCGCAATAGCAGATTTGTTGCTGAGTTCTACTGTCCTTCCATTCTCTGCTACACTGGAAATCCTTGGCTTCTGGGTTCTGGGGAGGATATTTTGTGATATCTGGGCAGCAGTTGATGTGCTGTGCTGTACAGCTTCTATTTTAAGTCTATGTGCAATTTCTATAGATAGATATATAGGAGTACGTTATTCTCTCCAGTATCCAACTTTGGTAACAAGAAAAAGGGCAATTTTAGCTCTCCTCGGTGTCTGGGTCCTTTCCATAGTGATATCTATTGGACCTCTTTTGGGCTGGAAAGAACCAGCACCCAAGGATGATAAAGAGTGCCGTATCACTGAAGAACCATTCTATGCTTTGTTTTCTTCCTTGGGGTCATTTTACATTCCTTTAATTGTCATCCTCGTGATGTACTGTCGGGTCTACATAGTGGCAAAAAGGACAACTAAAAACCTGGAAGCTGGGGTTATGAAAGAAATGTCCAACTCCAAGGAGCTGACTTTACGGATTCATTACAGGAACATTCATGAGGACACATTAAACAGCACCAAACCCAAGGGTCACCATCCCAGGAACTCTTTAGCTTTCAAACTTTTTAAATTCTCTAGAGAAAAGAAGGCAGCCAAGACATTGGGAATTGTGGTTGGGATGTTTATCTTGTGCTGGCTACCTTTCTTCATTGTTCTGCCACTGGGTAAGTTGGTAATGAAGGGATTGTGAGGGGAGGGGGGTGAAGATGGTTAGTTGTTTACTAAAAATATATCATGGAAAAAAATCAGATTAATGTTAAGCAAATATAATTTTGAGAACTGCATTGAACAGATGAAAGGAAGGAATTAGAAAATAATTTACTTCTGATGTTGGCATTTTCCAAGAGTCATGCTGAAACTTTGTAAAATGTGCAGCCTGCAGGAAGTCTGCTCATTTGATAGTCATTCACAGAGATGGGGCAGATGTCAAATCAGGGGACAGCATCTTCAGAGTTTATATATTAAATCTCCCTCTGTCTTTGTTTGAACTGAATTAGGTTTCAGAAACGTTTTTATAGGATGCTTTAACAAAAATCCTAGAGAACAAAAAGACTTTCAGCACTGCAATATTCTTGGTTTAATTTACTGCTAGATGCTCAGACTATATTAGGTATCTTAAATATAAATGAACTCAATCTAACAATGAGATGCAAAATTCCCCTGGGACTGGAAGCTGAAAAAGTTTTAGTTCTCAGTTCAAATGTCACTGATCAAATCCCAACAGCAAACACACAAACCTCACTGATCCCCACAGAAAGGTTCTCGTTAGTTTCAATAGATCATAGCTCAGGCATTTCAGGAGGTTGCCGTGTGACCTTTTGGCAGCCACTGTGTTCACTTTCAACTTTAAAAATTATTGAAGCATTTGATGTAGCCTTAACACATTATTCTGTGTTCCCAAGTCCTTATGAATTTTGCTTGTACTGTCTTTAACACTAGTACTATCTCTGAAGTGGAATATCTCAAAATATTTAAGTACTAAGCTTTCAAAAATATCTGTCCAAAATCCTTTTCTCTGACACACAGACAATCTGTCAGCCTAAATATGGAAAGAGGTGGAAAAAGAAAACTGAGAAAAAGCCTTTATTAATGTTCTGTATTCATGTTTACTTAGTTACCCTACCAAAACATTTCTAATTGAGTGCTAAGCAAGTATTTTTAGATACTTAGAAAACGAAACTGAGTTCAGCAACCTGGTCCTGGAGAAGTGTTATAAAATTAAATTTCAGTGAGCGTGCAATATAAGTTAGATTAGAATCTTTACTGCAAGACAATTACTTAACCTATTGCAAGGCAACTATATAATCTCTAGCTTATTCTACCATAAACTTAAAAATCTTTACAATTCAAGATCTGCATAAAGCTAATGTTAAGGACATGACAAAATTCAAACAGAAGGAAAATTGTACGCAAAGTTCTCTTTGGCCCCTGAAATTTAAGTTATTGTGCTGACTTTTAAAGAAAATTTATAACATAGAGCAAATTTCCAAGTATCGAAAAAATACCTGTAGGTAGAAATATAATTTTACCATATGGTCTCAGTAGTAGTGTTAGGTATATATCTAGCAGGTCATGATCCTCTGATGAAGTAGATTCCCTCTTTGATTTTGAATTATGGAAGGAACTTGGGGGAAAAAAAAAAAAAAAAAGCAGACATGGATGCAGTAAAGCCTATCTGCAGCTAGCAGAAGCCAGTATAGCTATTGACACTGTTCACTGAACACAGGTGCAGACCAGTCCATTAAAAACATGATGGTCACAGAGCAGAAGCAACAGGAGAAACAATTAAGTTTCTTGTAAGAGTGTCAGTTTTCCCTTAGATAAGTTATTTCCAAATTCCTGGTCTTTTCCAGGAGGTTTAATGAGTCACTGTTTAGGACATCTGAGTGGAGAATTTAACTGCTTGTCACACTATGATTCTGTCTCTCATATAAATTGTGTCCAAAGCATTAGCAAAGTGACAGGCTGAGAGCCTCCCCCACAGCACACTGTGTGCTGACAGAGGTGCTGGGTGGGCTGAAGGGCTAAACTCACTGCTGTGGGCTCTGACCCAACAGAGACTGAGTGTCTGTAACCCCCAACATGCTCACATCAGCACTGTGAGCACCACAGAACTGAAATTCAGGAACAGTTGACATTGTGTCAGTTAGAAGAGGGAAAAAATTAGCTCCTTGGCACTGCAGTATGGACTGCTGGCTCTCCTGTCCTCTGCCTAGAAATAATCTTACTGATGATTTGCAAAACTCTCCATAGGTCCCTTGGGCTGCTTTAATGGCAACTGACTCGCTGATCTGTGCAGGACTCCAGACTATAATATCTTTTCTGCTGTTGGGTCCAGACTCTACACTTACTTTTGCTATACTGGAGGGACAGGCTTCTTCCTTAGCCTGTGTGTTTCACCCCTTAAATTTGTACCATTGACCCTAATCATACTTTCACATCCACATTTTTACTTTTTTTTTTTTTTTTCTTCCTTGTTTGACTCAGTAATGCCATGACTCTGCAGAATGGCATTAGCACAGCAGCTTTGAATTTCTGAGGATCCAACCACAAAACATTTGATAAGCTGGTAAATGTTATTTCTGCAAGACCCCAAAATCATCTCTTAAATGTAGAGGAGCTTCCTTCATATTAAAGGTGTTCTCAGTTCTTCTACTAGCTTTGCAGACAAAATTATAATTCTTCCCGTCTGGCATTTAAATATATTCTGTAGCTATCCATTTTGATACATCAGACAAAGGATTATTACATCAGGTGGCAGATATATACTGGGAAATGATGCTGTGCTGAAAGCAGGAATATTACTTGAATAAATATTCCATGAAAAAGGAAAAGAAATAATATTAACACAGAGTGTTTCTCAAGCAGGAATCAAAAGGCTTTGCAAGGCAAGTTCTCTGACAGAGCTCCATGTACAACTACAGAAAGAAATTACAGCACTGCCACTACGATGTACTGACCACCATGAAAAAGTGAGCCCACAGACTGACCCACAATCTCTTGTTGCAGAACTGAACCATGCTGCCTAGTGTTACCACCTGATGGTGCAGCAAAACTGATATTAAGGAGAATCATGTGAGAAATTGGTTTATTTTCCAGTAGCTACCAGATATTCTTTCCAGATAGCAATATACCTATAAAATATCCTTATAATGCATATTCATAAATGCTCCATGGCTTTGTAAATAGTTGTTCTGCCACTCAGAATTATTTGTAGTACAGCATAAAAACAGATTAAAACCTATGTGTCATTGAGACAATTTTGTGTGCCACAAATCCAGTGACTCAGCTTAGAAGAGTAAATATCTTACTATTTTAAAATAAATGCTTCTTTTCTTCAACCTCACACAAATCCTTTCTTAGGAATCAGAACTATATCAAATATGCATTGCTGAAAAATACTGAGTAAAATATATTATTTTTATCAAAAGACTAGAGTCCTGCAGAAATGTTACCACTCATTAAAACTCTGTCATTTAAGCAAAGGAATATATTTTATGCCAGTAATTTTAAAAAATAATCCAAAATGAAGGATAATATGATTCCCCCTGGCTATTAGGTCAAAGTTTAGTTTCATTGCTGCTAATTGAGATACCAGAGTGGGCTTGCCAGTCTTTCCCAGAGACATATGTACCCTGCAAATTGAAAACTCACCACCTCCATAACCAAAGCATACTACCTTCTCCAGCCTATTCTTTAATTCTGGTGTAAATCAGAAGAGCATTATTCACTTCCCAGTTCAGAGCTTAAGTCTTCCTGCTCCTACAAAACCTGTAATCTTATCCACTGAAGTCAGAAACAAAATTCTTGTAACTTCACTGGCAGTGGGATAAGGTCCCAAAAACCTCATAATGAAGATACAACTGTTTTGACTATCCTTATATATTAAGCTTTTGAAACCTCTCTATAAAATAATAAGAAAAGAACATAAAATATTCTGCATGTGACAGGTCAGCCAATACAAAATTATTCTTAAAATAAAATGTTATTCAAGTACAGTATGTAGATTTATGTTACATCAGGCCAACCTCTGCATCTCTGCACCAAGAATATCAAATTAAGCCACTTAGTTTCCCATGGGAAACACTTCTAGGCATTAGGCCCAGTGCTGTTAATGCTGCTAGGTTCTGCTTCAGGCCTGGTTTGTCTTCCATCTCATTTTGGACTTGTACCCACTTCACTTCTCTGACTAGCCTAGCTCTCTAGATTAGTTGCCCTCAAGTTAATAATTATAAAGAATTTGGACAAATTTGTTATAACATGAGGCAATCTGAACCTCTGCCCACTTGCAAGGCAACCTTTGGTACAATGTTCTATTGAACAGGTGATAGCAGGAACCTGCTCTTCTGATTTTCTAGCCATTCCTGTAAAACTAAACATCATAAGGGCATTTCTTGACCAGTACAGCATGTTTTGCCACATGTGAAGGACTAGATTATTTCAAGATTATTCATTTTACTAGGAAAATAGCCTTCCTTAAGCCACTGTTTAAGCTTCTGGTCTGCAAAGGATGCCAGTTATCAGTTACTTACAGAATTATTTTTATTTTAAGCAAAGTCGTCTGTTATCAAAGCAGATGAAACTACACAAATTCTGGGGTACTTCCTATGTAGGGTTTTGATTTGCAGGTCAGAGGAACAAATGGAAATCGTAAAGCATACAGACTTACAAAAAACAAATATCCAAAGCCACACGGGAAAAATACAAAGCAACCAGCTCATGTTGACTATTGAATCTCAGGGATAGCAGCAAATCCTATCTCGGGAGATCAGAGAGCTCTAAGAAAAAAAAAATCATGGCTGAGCCACTGGGCAACAATAGGAAATCTCACAACTATTGAAATCAAAGACAGGAGAGAAGTGAACATCTCTGAGGAAACACTGCTTTCAGCATCCAGCATCCACAATGCAGTGAATGCAAAGTCCTTTTGCCAAAGGCATTTGGGAACACGTGTTATTGCTCAGAGTGAAGTTAGATGTGTGCATATGGCCCTAAAGCATCCAGGCCATACCTCAGGATCTCAGCTGCATGTTCTTCAGTGTACCTATCTGTGAATAACAGACATGAATAAAAAGTGATGAGTTTTTTTAGTATCTTCACTGAAGTGCTCTCCATAGCCCATTGCAAGATTTTGAGCTATTGTGATGGGGATTCAAGTGATACC